AGCTATAATGAGAGTAATCTGTCGTCGCAGCCTCAGCGAGTGAAGCTCTGACGTCGTCAAAGCTCAAACATTCAATCACAGCAGAGAGTGAAGTCGTGTTTATCCAGCAGCCACCTGCGGTCACAGATTTTGTTTATAGGATAAATTCATTATTGGCTTCAGTTTCCTGTTCGTGCCCTTATGAAATAAAACACCAGCATGATCCCTTCACACAGCTCAGACGGAGCTGTGGTTTTCCAAGACTTCGGCTACAAACTTCCTCCGTGCTCCCGTGTCTTTGAGCAACTCACTGACACCTGCTGCTGTGCTCCGGCTGAGTCTGACCTCTGACCTCTGACCTCTGACCTCTCTCTCTGTGTCTCTCTTTCTTTCTCTCTCGAGGTGGGAGGACAAATCTGTCCAATAATGAGTCCCAAACTGTACACAGCTTGTGTGTGTGTGTGTGTGTGTGTGTGTGTGTGTGTGTGTGTGTGTGTGTGTTTCAGCAGGTGGGTGTTAGTGGAGCTGCAGACTCATTGTCTCTCTCTCTGCACACACAGACCTGATTAGAGACCCCTTCCTAAAAAGTCTTTCACAAACAGGAAGGAAAAAAAAAAAACTGTAGTCTCTGACCTTTGACCTCTGAGCTAGAAGATCCTATTTCACAATAAGAGCCCTCTGTGCGACGAATGACATGCTGCTGTTTGTGGTTTCGGCACAGAGGAAGTTCAGGCTGAATTTTATTAACTATTGTTTCACTAGATAAACTGAATAATTATCAATAAATACAATAGATTATCAGATCATAATTTGATATTACTTGTTTTCCTTATGTTTAACTAGTATTATATCAATAATTCAATATCAATCAATTTATTCCATTTTATACATACATTCATTTGTAAATCATAATGGTTTAATTAGCTTTGTGTCAATATGAAAACACATAATTATCTGTGTTTACTTAAAGACTGTGATGCATAGCTTTTAAAGAAAATATTATAATTAAATATCTTAACAAATTAAAGTTGTAACATCGATATTTAATTTTAAATTTGATGTTGTTATGATTCAGGATTGTGTTTAATAAAAAGAGTCATTTTAAGATGAAAATAAACCTCAGACTCTCTCTCTCCTCCAAATCACTTTTTATATATTTACAAACCACAAGCTGTAGAAATATTAATATATAATTCTAGTTTAATAGTGTTAAAGGTTAAAGAGTGTGTGTGTGTGTGTGTGTGTGTGTGTGTGATTGATCGATCGGCGTGTTGCTGTGTGGGAGATGCTTTTATCCCAGAGACAGCAGAAAGAGAGGAGGAGGAAGGTAAAGAGAGAGTGATGAAGAGAACGGAGAAAGAGAGAGGAAGGATGAAGTTAATGAAGATGCTTCTCTCTCCATTCATTTAGACAGGAGATTGAAATAACGGCCCCCGGGGGCTGCCGCCAAGATGGCTGCCGAGCGGTGGACCTCTGCATCTGTATGTTATCCTGAGTGAGTGATGTGTTCGTATCCATCTTCTTCAGGTTCGTTTAGATAGTTCATGAGGTTTTTTTTTCCAGACGATTCGACAAATCAATATATTTCCACATTTAAGTCACATGACATCCGAAAACTATGACCTCCCAAAAATCCCTTATCTGTCGTTATGTCGCCTTCGATTAAATACTGTTGCAGCGGATGCAACCACAGTTAGCAGATGCTGGAAATTTGCCGCCATGTTTAAACTGGAGCGATATTGCGAGGGATGAAAACTCAGCTTTATTCACGTAACGTCTCTCAGTGGGAACAGAACATTCACAGATGTGTCGTCGTCTCCTTCCGTCTCCAAACTGACAGAGAAACGTTTGTTTCTTGAAACTTTCAGGTGAGAAATGTTCAGGTCATGTGACTCAGTTTTCATTCAGATAACAGAGGAGCTCATTTCTTCTTCTTCTTCTTCTTCTTCTTCTTCTTCTTCTTCTTCTTCTTCTTCTTCTTCTTCTTCGCTCATTTCTTCTTCTTCTTCTTCTTCTTCTTCTTCTTCTTCTTCTTCTTCTTCTTCTTCTTCTTCTTCTTCTTCTTCGTCTTGTCCCGTATTGTTTTTGTTATTCGTAGCCATATTGGTTTCTGGTTGTCCGTCCGTCCGTCCGTCCCGTTCTCATGGACACAATACCTCCGTAACACCTTGACGAAACTTCTTCACGTTTTGCACAAACGCTCACTTGGATTCAAGGATGAACTGATTCGATTTTTGGTGGTCAAAGGTCACGGTGATATTTTTGGCGTTTAATTTGATAGTTGCAGTGAGAGAGAGACAGGAAGTCTGGGAGAGAGACAGCCGGATTCGAACCCCAACCGCTGCAGTTATGGACTAGCCCTTCGTGGTTCGTGTGTGTGTTTTTTTTTACTGTGCTAATAAATAAAAAGATAAATAAATGGTGGTGGTAGAGGAGAAGCAGAGGGATCATCCTCTGGACACCATGAGTGTTTGCACAACATGCATCAAACAGTTTGTTAGATAAACGAATAGAACGACTGAGTGACACTGCAAAAAACAAACAAAGAAAAAACAGCTTTAAAGCAGCTTTTTTTTTGGTTTTGTTGCCTGAAGTTTGGAAACGTGACTTTATTTATTTCCACGTCGAAAAATACAAAAATAAAATAGGAAATAGTAGCGTCATGTTTTGGATGGATGAATGGATGGATGAGGAAGGCTCTCCCTGTCTTCCTCTGTGGATCAGGTTCATTGTCAAGAGGGATAGAGATGGATGACAGGGTGGACGCATGAATGGAGAGAGAGAGTGATAGCAGGAAACTGGGGAGGCACACACACACACACACACACACACACACACAGACAGACAGTCATAACAGGCTACGTAAGTGAGCAAAGAGGAGAGGGCGATTGTAGATGACTGAGTCAGCAGTCCTACGTCCACCACCCTCCCTCCCTCCCTCCCTCCCCCTGTCTGTGTGTCCATCACACTGTGGCCTCCATTTGACTGTTAAATCACCTACTCAGCACAACAACACAGACACAGAGCGAGGGAGAGGGAGAGGGAGGGAAACAGGGAGAATGGTGGCTACGCAAATCGGCTTCTGAAGTCTGACAGGGACTGAATGTAGAGCAGAGCTCGGCCGAGAGACACTGAGAGAGACTGAGAGAGAGAGAGAGGAGACAGTGTGTGTGTGATTTACTCCTCCTTGTGCGTGTGAGTGTGTGTGTGTGTGTGTGTAGAAGATGAGGTGATGTAATAGATCTTATAGGATATCGAGTGTGTGTGTGTGTGTGTGTGTGATGAAGATGGGAGATGGGAGCAGCCATGTGCAAACTGTCGGATAAAGTCGGACAGCACGTGAGAAAGAGGTCGACAGGTAGGATCATGGGAACAAACACACACACACACACATGCAGTTTGTGCAGGTGTCTGTGAGTGTCTAGTGTGTGTGTGTGTGTGTTGTCAGAGTGTGTCGTGTTTGTTTGTTGACATGAAGTCAGCGAAAAAAGCTTCTTCCTCTTCTCTGGTGAAGTTATTTTAATACTTAATGGTGCTGCTGGATCATGGCCAGTCGTGTGTGTGTGTGTGTGTGTGTGTGTGTGTGCGCTTTATTTATAGGTCTGATACTCCAATAGAAGTCATAACTGATAAACTAAGGGTGGGCAACAGGGACAAAATGAATGTAGTCATAATATCTGTGTGTTATAATCTGTTCAGATGATTAAAGCTGCATTTAAACGTGAATTCTTATGTTGGATAATCCCTCAGTTATTTTGTCTAAAAAAGTGACGTCTTTAAATTCCCTGTTTTGTCACATGAACAGTTCAAAACCCAAAAATATTCAATTTACAACAGAAAAAAGCAGCAAATTCTTCCATTTTATTGATGAAACCTGTCGATATTTGACTTTATTTGTTTGATAAATGACTGAAAAGATTAATCAGCTGTCATATTTGTTGTCAATGTAATTGTTACAGTCCTAATCCTCCATGTTTATTTCAATCAGTCGAATGTTTTTCTAATTGATTTGATTTAAAAAGATGTTTGTTGTTTTGTTATTGAACAGTAATGATTTTAATTTGTTTTAAGTGTTGATATTGTGAGGGAAATATTTTAGATTTTTTTACTACCACTTATTCTCCTATACACCATCTGCAAGTATAACATCAGATTTTTATTAAAGTTTAAGTTTTCCCTCATTTAGACCTGATTAGAAACTGAACCACATGTTTATTTATACGATTATATGACGAGATAGTAAACAACAATAAACTGGATTGTTGTCCAGCCAAGCAAAATATGTGTAATATTGAATCTGCTGATTGTTTTTTATTTTATTTTAAGTTAATAATTAGTATTTTCTTGTATAATTCTAAATGTCTAAATCAGATTTTAAGATCTTATTTTTCAACCTGATTTTATTTATTTATTTATTTATTAGTCATTTTTAAGGACTGAGTTTATGTTCATATTCAGGCCTTTAATCCCAGAATGCACCTCTCATTCTGGAGTCAATAAACAGCTGCTGAGTGACGTGGCCCCGTCGCGTTGCAAACTTAAACCTCCTCATCAAAAATATAAAAGATAATCATAAGAATAGATCTCTATGACCCCAAGGTCTTTCCACTGAAGTTCATGCAGTAATTTGGGCATTTTGAAGAGAGAAATGTCGCGTTCAAAGCTTCTACTTTGGGTTTTAAATGTTAAAAACGAAGGTCAAATCCTACACGCCCTTATTTTGAAACATTTTCCTCGTTCATATCTTGTAACACAGGTCAGATTTTGCATGTTGTTGATTTCCGTTTGCTGAGAATAACTCTGACCCCAATGTTCAGACTCTGCTGATATCAAGCGGGTATTTGCATATACGTTACAGACCCACACACACACACACACACACACACACACACAAAAGGTTCATTGTGTTGTACGTGCGTATCTGTGCGAGTACTCACAGTCGTTTTACAGTCACAGTTCAAACTTTTCTATCTGTCCACACTCTGTAAAATTAACCCTTTAATGGATTCATTGTTCTGCAGGTTGTAAATACGCCTGTCACGCCGCCTGTCGGGACAGAGTGTCGCTGGACTGTCACCCCGCAGCGTCACCCGTCAGTCAGGACCAGCTCAACAACAACAACACACAGCTCCATGTGAGTTCCCTCTGCACAGTGTGTGTGTGCGTTGACTTTATTTCCTGTGTTGGATAAAAGCACCAGGATTGGATGTTGTCCTTGATTTAAGTCCAGTCCTGCTGTTTGACTTTTGTTCACATGTTTACAACAGAATGAATTAACAGCTCACTGAAGTCATTGTCTGACAGAAGCTCCTGGTTTTGTGTTTTTTATTTAAAATATTGCATGAATGCATTAATATATCATTTATGATATTATCATTGTGGCTCTGACAGAAGAATCTTAGCCTCCAATAATCCTCTAAATACTGTTTAATAAGAGTTGTTTCTACTCTGATAAACATCAGAGTCATAGTCTCTTTCAACAGTAACTATTTCCCCACACGGTCTATTCAGCAGCTGTTCTGGAGCTTTCAGTTGTATCACATGATCGTCCTCAGCACAGGGAGTTTGCTCAGTTTCCATTTTTTCCGGGCACTTTAAGGACTTTTTGTTGATGTCGTTTACAAAGTAGAGATTTAAAACAACAAAATGAAAAGGATTTAAATTATATATAATATAAAAGTGAATGATATTGTACATTCAAGTCTGAATTTTGGCACAAACATATCTTTTAACAGTCAGAACTATTACAGACGTGATATTTGGGGTTCAACCTGGTTCAGGATTATTTTAGGTTGGGCATTAAATTTCATTTATCTGCGCTCTGCAATAATAATAAGAATAATATCCATAATAATGCAAAAAGGTCCCATGACTGTAGTGTTACATCCATGACCACAAGTGGGCGCTGTGGTCAAACTCTTGTCATGCGGCTGCTGAGGTGTCGGTATGAGCGTCTGAGCCAAAGCAAACACCACAACACTGAAGACTTCTCTGTGTTATCTTGAGAATAATATTGTTCCATGTGTCCTGGACGTGTGTTCCTGTCCTGTTAGTTTCATCCCCGGAGAATCTGTTTTCTGTCATGTGTCAAAATTCCTTTCTGCTGCGATAAAACTTTGGTGCACACACACCCATAATGCATCATGCACCAAGATTAGAGTGTGTGTGTGTGTGCGTGTGTGTGCGTGTGCGTGTGTGTGTGTGTGTGATTCCTAGAAGACCGCTGGGTGTGTAGCAGCAGATCTGGTTCATGTTAGACCACACCACTACGCAATATCATAGAGAGATTCACTAACTGGATCCTTGTAAAAACATCTGAAAACTGTTTTCTCTTAGTAATATTAGTTGTAATAGTGAAAAATCCTTCACATCTCACAACACAAGTGCAGTATTTTCATTATTATTATTATTTTCACTCATTTTATAAAAACCTTAGCAGTGCAGTGGAGCTGAAAATCCAAAGTCTGTCCAGATTCTCGTCTTAAAGAAAGATCATTAAATTCAAAAGGGTGTGTTTCTATGGAAACAATGATGTCTTTAAATGCATTTCATTCATATTTTTATAATGTTTATTATCATTATTATTAAAGCAAAAACATACAGATATTGTAAGAAATAACACAATGTAAAGGTGTGATTTAAAACAGATGAACCATTACACTACATTTTATAAGTTCTTGTCATTTTTAAACAGTTTAAACAGTTGTTGATTCATCTTGTAAGAACATTTTTTGGCTGTAATATCATCTCACATTTCATCAACCCCCCCCATGTTTACATCTCAGCTGTGGGCGCAGTCGGGCTCGTCAACCCCGATGTGGTTTTTTTTTTTTTTTTACATCCAGCACGAGGCGGATTAGCTCAGCACATTTCAGACCAAGGCTGAACACAGTCACTCTCTGACAGTGCTGAGTGGTGCTGAGCAAAGCGCTGTGGGTTTGTAGGTGTCAGTTATTTCATGAAAAATACATTTTTTTGTGCAGCTGGATTCAAAAAGGTTAGTGTGTGTGTGGGTCAGCTGCAGGGCGTGTGGTTATTAGATTAGTATTAGATTAACAAATACTGAGAAAATGTTTTTAAAAAATGGTTTTAAAGTGGAAAGAAAAATCTTCTTGTTTCCCACAGTTGGGTTTGAGTAGTTAATTGTTATCTGGCACTAAAACTGGTGCAGCACAGATGTTAATGCTCCGTCCTAATAAACAACTAAACAACAGGCAAACTGCACTTTTCTTCAAAGAGTTAGTTTTGAGTGTTTTTGGTAGCGGTGAAGTATTTATGTTCTTCTCTATTTGGCTGTAAGATGATGAAAATGCTCATTTCCAATCAGCTGAAAACAGACTTTTCACACTGTGTGTGTGTCCTCGTTTCACAAAGATCTGAATCTCAGACAGCGTCTGTGTTTCAACACAGTTCTCACAGTGTTTCTGTCTGTCTGTGGTTTGTGGCGGAGAAGCCGTCTGGAGACTAAATGTCAGAGATAATGACACGATAAGCAGCCATAAGACAGACGCTCAAATGGGTTTCAGCGAAAGTGACCGGTTTGTGTTTGTGTGTGTTTTAAAGCCAGACCTGGACTGTTGCTGGTTACGCCAGCAACTGACATTTTACTTGACTTCATACTTTTTACCCATCATAGTTCATCACTTTGGTCCAGACTGAAATATCTACATTACATTAGAACAGTCATGGTTCCCAGAGGATGAACCCTAGTGACTTTGGTGAGTCTCTTTTTTCCTCTACGTCCATCTTGAGGTTCACATTTGTGGTTTTGAAAGAAATATTTCAACAACTACTGGATGGATCACAATGAAGTTTGATACAGATGTTCATGTTCCTCTGAGGATGAAATTATATATATATATTATATGAACATCGTTTGGGAGGAGACACTGAATATTCAGCAGTATTTAGAGTATTAAGGACATTTTCCCTGCGTAAAATTGTTAAATATGGCGACTAAAAAGTTGCAAATAATGGTAGTGACTTAATATCAGTCTATGCTGAGTTGGATGTGAGTCAGCGAGTCATTGAGTTGTTAGTCTTGCTGTGTATAAAGACATGCAGGGTGGAGTTCTCTGTGTATAATGCTTTAAATACCTCGGTCAGCAGCGCTCTCTTTGGCTCGTGGGCGATGTGCAGACTAACGTGCTCACACCTGTGTCAGCTATCGCAGTGAAAGTGATCTCACAGGGCAGCCAGCCAATGCGTGGAGGCATTTCACTCTGTGAGCATGCACTGTAATGTTAGTGCAGGACAGTGCTCCTGTTGCTGTGAGCGTGTTTGGGTTGGTAACCAGAAGAAGAACTATGTTAATATGACTACAACTCATTTATCACAGCTGACTGAACTCGAGTGTCTTCATTTTCTTTTACTTTATATTTCTACTGCACTACAAATCAAAGGGAGTCATTTAATGTTTTACTGCACTTTATTTATTTGACAACTTTGCTTACTTTGCAGATTCATATTAATGGAAATAAATTAAACAAATGATCATGTGTAATTATAGATTAAGATGAGACTTTATTGATCGCAGGGGGAAATTCACAAGGTGCCCAGAGGTTTAATTAAACCACCATTCTGCAAAATGAGTGTTTTTACTTTTGGTACTTTAAGTATATTTTGATGCTAATACTTAAAAGTGTGAGTTTGTTACTTGTAACAGAGTATTTCTACACTATTAATACTTTTACTTGAGTTAAAAAAAGCAGATCTTTGTTTCATTTTGACAGAAATGTCTCTATACTTCCTTTAAATTAAGGTCAAATGATGTTTTCTGAATCCACATGAGGGTCCACATGATGTTGATTTTATGATAAACCCATGTCTGTGATTATCTTTATGGACGTACACAACGACTGCAAAACTGCAAACATGTCGCATTCACAAAACCCAAAAGCAGTTCTACTCAGGCCTTTAGGATTAAACTGCAGGAGTCTACTGTCTTTTTTCTCTAAGGTTAAACAAATAAAATCACTTAAAGAAACACTTTGACTGAGACAAGAACATTTTCAACGTTACACAAAAAGCTCCATATCCGGTTTTATCTCACTGCTTTCAACTTACAGATAACTGTGGTGTTTTTAGCCTAGCTTAGCTATAATCATAATAATATGTATAATAGAACAATAGAAGAATAGAATAATATTTCTTTGCATTTGGTCGACTTTGTTGACTTGAACACTGCAGATGTCTCTCTCATTTATCTCGACCTTCAACCAGCCTTAACCAGTCCAACACTCGTCCTAATGACAGGTGACATAACAGTTCAATCTTGAACATAAAGTGACAAAGTGAAACTAAATATTAACACAGACTAACACAGTTATACTGCGGGTCTGTGATCAGATTCTGTAAAAGTGACGTGAGACAGAAAGAGAAAGAGAGTAGAAAGAAAAGAAACCTACATATTCCCTCACTTGTGTTTTCTCAAGTTATACAACTGTTTTCCCTCTTGGTGGTTTGTGTGTGTGTGTCTGTTTACTGTAGTGTGAGCCCAGCCCAGCTCTAACCAAGCCAATAACTGTTAATGAGTAACCATAAAACCCAGAGGGAAAACACATTAACATTCCTTCTATTCTTTTTTTAATTGACTTTTCTAACTTCTAAAATATTATCTGGTTCTCTCCTGCTGAGCTAAAGCAGGTTGTAAAATCTTGAATAATTTTTTTTGAAAAGATATCTTGCCAGCTACCAGATGGATTGTCATAAAATTTGGTAGCCTATAAGCATTTATGATAAATCCAATAAAATGATCATTAATAAATAAATAATTGATCCACTGACTTTTAACTAGTGCCTCCAAAAGTCATTTGAACTCCTTCATTTCATGACAGGACGCCTCTAAAACTGAATTTCCATTTGCCTCAGATGATTAATGCTAACATAGGGGTGCTAACATGCTAAATGTAGCATTTACCTCACTACCTGTGCACAGATTAAAATGAGTCTGAACAAATAAAACATTCTTCCTCTTACAAATGCAATGTTAAATTCATAAGCAATAAAACACAACCTTACTCAGTTAAATACACTCAGGTGTTTTGCCGCTACAGTCTTGGTTGTCAAATATGCCCGGTAGCTTATGGTGGCTAACGTTAGCTAACTTTAGAGATCTATTGTGGAGTTACTGTA